TCTAGCCAGACCTTAGTAAGCCAGAACTGGTACTGCTACTACCACTACTGTTATTTCTAATACTACTAACTAGGGTGTAGCCGAGCGATAATATTTGCTGGTACTATTACTGACTGATTTGTAAGTCAGAAATGACGCTGATTAAAGTCAGCATGGTCGGTATCACCTGAATAACACCCCTTCTCTGGTCGCGTGATTTTCCCTCACTACCTTCGCCGATATCGCACGGGGTGGAGCGGTAACGACAGAGGAGACTGAGGTGGCAATAGCCGTAGGCTTAGTCGCACCTCGTTGGACAAGCCATACAAGGTCAACATCCCTGATCGAATATGAGCTAAGGTGTGTACACACCTTACACGCAGGGTTCAAACAGGTGTGCCAGGACCAGGCTCCACTAGTCAGTCTTTTTCTAAGGTAACGGAAGGGGGGATTCCTTAAAATACAACGGAAGGGCATCGAGCCGATGGGTTCCGGTGGTAGGGTAGCAAACAGAACGGAGTTAGGCTTCTCTGACACAGACAAACAAGATGCTGTACGAATGCACATTTGACGGTCTTAAAAAACTCATAAGTACACACTGTTTCTAAACCGAAAGATACTCTTTTTTTCAAGTATGCAATTGAGAGAAGGCACCGGTTTCTACCAAACGGGTACAATAAAGCATATTTCTGAGCAGCTTTTCTATAAACGACACTTAAATTTATGTAAGTGTCAAAAATGAATGGGAAAAATGTATACTACATAAGTTGGCATTCTGTACAGAGGGGAGTTCAGTTTATTATTTAGTATATTAATTTAATTGAGGTTTCAGTGTAGTTTGTCTTTTTAGCTTTTTAGGTTTGTTAATTTTAGCATAGTTTAGTATATGGTAGTTATTTAAGTATAATTATCGTACTTTGGCAGTATCTAACTAAAACTAAAATTAAACATAATAAACTGAACTAAAACAAAAATAAAACTAATAAAATTAAAAGTAACCACACGACTAGGGGTATCTTAGGGGGTAGACCAACTTTATTGTCCTCATCCATTCGAATCGAAAACACGTTTTCCAATTTCGGTAAACAGTTCATGAGATAGACCAGCTGTTGTAGATACTTCGAAAGAACGTACACGGCCACAGTGCTGCTTTAAGTTCTAGACCGTGCAATTAAGAGAGCGCATTCGCGTGAAAGTGCCTGCTTCGGGATAAAACTGGTAGAGGATGGGTATGTAAAGACCTTGATTGGGGACACAACAATTCTATCCAAATTTAACCCGAACTTATGAAATTTAACTCACGCAACGAAATTCCTCGGTGGCGTCTGTGCCTGCATTCGTTGCAATGAGGTCATAGCCTCCGGGGTGATACTCCGCAAACTTTGTCACATCGTAGACACGAACTGAAAAAAAGAGATCAAATTTAGTTCTGTTAGACAAATCCCCATCCATTCCAAGGTCGCCACTAACGGGGCCCTCCGAGGAGTCCTGTGCAGATATGACGGTGTCGAATTTGCAGCCAGGCACCGGATACCTAACACTGACTACGATAGTTCGACCGTCGACTTTGACGAGGTCCATCTGCCCCTGATCCAGTTTAAAAGCAAATCACCCGTGCTACGCAAATTTCGCGAGCCACGTGCAAACGTCAGCGTCTGTCCGGGCTATAGATGCGATAATTGTTGATAGGGAGGATTATAAAATGCCTCTCGTGTGGCTATTTCGTGGGAAATATCCTCTTTTTTAAAACGTAACTCGTGTTTTCGTCTCCACTAAACCCCCACACTTGGAACCTTTTCTTCATAACTTAATAAAAAAAGTCTACTGGTGTCTATAGAACACTGGGGTACGTTTACATCAGGTTGTACACTTGGCAAGTACAATTACAGGCCTAGTGAATACTAGCCAATTAGTATAATGTCTAATCTCGAAAGATTTAAACCTCGTTAGTTTGCTTAAACCCAAATACTATTTTTTTCTCTCGTATACATTTTAAAGTCTATACAGTCAAATGACTATAAATTAAGTTTTTATTTATTCTTCATAGGAAATTGGGAAAGCGAAAAAGACACTAACACTCAATGATAATTCCGTCATGAGAGTGAAAGGAAACTCAGCGGAAAGCCGGCGGAGGTGTGTCTCAGCATAATATGTGCCGTGAATTGAAGTAAGTAGTCTTTTTTACTTGAAGTCCCATTTAGATTTTTTTCACTTTTTTGAGGATTTTCAGAGCATTCTTTACAGTACGATTCAGAATTCGTGCAACATGACGATATTTGTGAAAGATTGATACTCACTCGGTAATCGGCAGTGAGTAACGTTGTAATGCTAATTATCGTGTAGCGTTTTCTCAAGCCATTTCAATCACAACGGGATGCAGGCATTTTAACGAGCTTCGTTCTGACCCCTGAAAAAACGCATGTACTGTAAAAAATGGCAAATTAAGTAGTACGCACTTTTATCATTGATTTTGACTGCCTCTATAAATTCAAATGTATTTTATGGAGAAAATGCACGAAAATATTCTTTCTTTTTCTCGTTTGGAAGTAAATTACGCCTTTTTTAGATTTTACACTTCAAGAAAAGGTATTTTAAAATTTTTAAAGAAGTTCCTAAATTGCCGAATAATTTTGAAACCTACTGACTGCTACACCTGAATTCAAGGTTTTCAAATTAGCGCTGTGTGTTTAAGGCCAGGTGCGTTTTTGCCTATAGTTTGAAGAAGAAGTCTCATAGTTCTCATAAAATGTTGCAATATATGTAGACCACGCTGTATACATTATAGGCAGCATTAATAAATCGACGGATACGATGTATTATGAATGAACACCTCACGATCGTAAAAAATTCAGAATTAGAATTTTTTAAACCGAAAGACACCATTTTTAAGTATAAAATTTGAAGAAGGCTTAATTTTCGACCAAACGAGAGGAAGAAAGAATATTTTCGTACATGCTCTCCATAAAATATATTTGAATTTATAAAGGCAGTCAAAGTCAATGATAAAAATACCTACTACTTAAATAGCTACTTTTTGCAGTACATACATTCTGTTAGCGGTCAGAACGAAGCTCGTTAAAAAGCCTGCGTCCTAGTGTGATTTAAATGGCTTGAAAATAGGCTACACGATAACTAGTACTACAACTTTACTCAATGCCGATTAGCGAGTGAGTATCCATCTTTCGCAAATGTCGACATGTTGCACGAATTCAGAGCTGTACTGTACATTAAGCATATTCGTGCCGAGGAAGTGGACTGGGAAGCTGACTGATACCTGGGTATCCCAATACTCCTGACTCACAAAAAAAAAACGATTCGAGGACATAATTAATTGTTTTGAAAAAGGCAGATAAATTGTGTGGCAGAAAGACGAGAAAAAAACTTACGCTTGCCGTTGTGGGAGAGGGCCATCCACATGTCCTCAGGACTGTAATGCTTCATAAGCTCATCTTCACTGATAGGCTTATTTTCAGGCGTCAGCGACAAATACTCCGCGCTTCTAGTATACTTATTCCAGTGTCCTATGCCACTTACGGCAGAAAAGACAAAGGCCAATGTGAGGAGACTGTATAAAAAGAGGGGAAACCTACGGCAAGCATCCGAAAGAAGTCAGGAGAAGGTGTACATAGGCATAAAACTTTTGCCACAGTTTAAAATTAATTAAGCTACCGTTAAATCATAATTATTGACTGCGGGGAAGCCCTTAACCAAACCTGTCACTGAGATTCAAGGCACCTGCACTGTGTAACAGTGAAGCTGCCGTCGACATTAATTTGTGATTAAGATGTGCATAGATGGAATTCCAGATCGGACGGATAAAACTCGTGATCCAGTGCATATAAACTATTCATGATGACCACAAAATAACACTGCGTGCTATTTTCCTTAGATTTTAGTCACTAAATTAGAGCTTTCGTGAGATGTTACGACTGGGATTCGGTGGGCACATTCTAAAGTAGTCAGGTTTTAGCACAATCGATTGTATAAACACAAAATTGTCCTTTTTAAATATCTAACCGTGTCGGAAACGCTGACGGTAAATACTTTAGCTTCTTTCCGCCGAGTAAGATAGAAAGCAGTACCTATGGACTGACTTATAAGTACTTTGGGCAGAATTAACCAACCATAAAATTTCTGGAAATTTAGAGATGCATGGTCTCCAGTTAAGTCCGTTACCGCTGGTGTCCCTAACCTTTGCTCTTATTTTTTTTAATGTTTTCCCATCTCTGGGTTTTGCTTCCACGCTTTGTTGATCGAGAAAAGCCACGGTATTTTGTAATGTGTTAATCTAAGGGATAGGCCAAAAAGACACCTAAATTAGGGTGATTAAGGGGAATTAATAGTCAAAATCCAGAGACCCTGCGCACGCATGGAAAATTCAGACCTCCTGCACTGAGGTTGAAGATGAAAAAATTCGCTGCTCCACGACCGAGGATAGCTGTCGAAACTAGGATAAAATTTTTAAAGCTTTTCCCAGTGCCTCGAGAAAATTTTGGCGGAAAACCCTTTTTTGTGATATTTAAGGCATTAATGACCCCTTGCCTACCCTGATTATACAAAACGCCAAAATAGACAGCTTCAGAACTAGAGACGGAGACCACTTCCCTGGCATAAGGCAATAGAGGGGGACTGGAGTGACAGAATCCTTTGGCTTATACGGATAAGAATTTCATTATTTTTTGGCGCTATTATCTTGTATGGAGGGTTATTGGCTTCTAGAATCGGTTATTTGAAGGATCCTATTACCCGTATGAATGAAAATCATGTGTACAGCAGCCTCTACTGACATAAAGAAATTACACGATTGATTCCTGTCACCCCATGACATGATTAAGGAATACAGTAGCCGCCGGCTATTAAGCCCACGGTTAATAAGCCCG